GTGATTATTGGCCCCAAATAAACCTCAGTATACTGTACTTTCTAACCTTGAGGGATATTTTGCCTCAATGTCCGTTCTTTTAGTTTTAAAGCTGAAACAAGCTGAGAGGTTGCCAGTTGCAGATTTGTAGTACCCATTTCTGACCACAGAGAGGCAGTGCTGCTGTGTGTAAGACGGCAGGCCTGACTGCAGGTGTAAGATTAGTCCATGCGTTAATGCGACATCCTCCCAACTCTCCCAAGCTCTGGTGCAGCTTGCTTGTGGCATTGCCAGACTGGAGGATGGAGACAGACACAACCAGGCCTGTTTTACCTGAGCTTTTCAGATGAAGACTCAAATCCTGAGGATGGTGAATTACTGATTATTACTTATTAAATGCTGAAATAGCAGGCAAGGTTCCATTAAAAACCTATGTTAGAATATGCTTCTTTTTTTTTTTAAAGCAAATATTCTACCTGAAGCTAATATTTCAGATGGGTTAAAAACACATGATGTAAAAGTACCTTTAAATTAGAACATCCTTATTGAAATCTAATGTTTAAGGTTTTCCTAAATGTTCTTGAGTGTGCACCACCATTAGTGTAATCAATACTTGAACTGTGTAAAGCTCATATCAGTGCAGGTGCATGAAAACTGTCATAATGTGGAATGAATAGTGTGTGTGCATGTACGCCTTTGACTGTGTGTGTGTGTGTGTGTGTGTGTGTGGATGTGTACCCTGTAGGGATCACAGTGCCAGTGCAGCTTCATTAATCTCGCAGCATCATGGGACTTGTCTGAACTCCAAAAGAGGGCTAGAGAGAACAAGCTGCCCCCCGGGGAGTCACTCCGTTTACCCTCCACACACTTAGGTCACTCTTCATATCACACACTCTTCAACTATACAATGTCAAACCCTCCAGTAGGCCTGAAAACACAGAACCGCTGCTGCTGCTGATCTGCACAGAATGTGTGTGATGTGCGTATTTGCGTGTTTGCCCATGCATGAAGAGTAATAGAAGGTGAGAGGTGTATATTAGACAGGGAGACTTTTTTTTTTTAGCAGCATGTGGGTCATAGTGAATGTGTTGCATGATTTCTTAAAGTAGCAAAAGGCAAAACTGTGCCACGACTGTATCATAAATATTTATTTCTCCTCAATAATGCATTAGAAAGCACATATACTGATTACATTACAAAACATACTGCTATAAATATCTCAAGATTCTCACGTAAGGACAAGATTCACACTATACAGTTACTATAGAGTAAGCACCATGATGATATCAGGATGATATTTGCCTTTCAATAAAAACTGGATGTCTTTTGAATTCACCCTCTTCAAAAACAATAATAAGTATGATTTTCTTTAGCAGCTTTGGACATGATGGCTGACAAAGTGGGATTCAGAGGAACACATCTGTAGCTGTAGCAGTTCTGGAATCAGTCATGAGTTAATCAAATCTAATCAAATCACCTGTTTTCCTTCCTTTTTTAAAGCATTGCACTCTGCATCCACAGAACATTCCCAGGCGGATTCACCACAAAAGCTTCTCCCAACAGAAAAGCTGTGTGGGAGATGAATGAGAAAATAAGTGGCACTTATAATTAAATTAGCCTGGTAGGACGTAACACATTTGGCTTCCATGCTGTTCTGATCCACAAGTTAGTCCCTGAAAAGGCACCTCCATGATCCTCACTTTTTCAATGACAATCATTTACACCACAGCCACATGTTAGTGGAGTGTAGTTAGAGTGTAAAATATTGTTGGGTGTTTTCCCTGCTCGAGAAAACTACATCAAATTAAAATTTGCCAACAAAATGTATTGCGTCACCCAGAGAAGAGAGTTATAGTACAGTGCAACCACAAATCCCTGTACTCTTTGACATTAAGATTGTGCTGTCCCCATTAGTTGGTATTGGCTCAACATGTACTTCACATGAAGTTTGGAACTCGGCCACATGCTGCTGGAGCAACTCTATTGCCAGAACATCAGTCTCTGGTGATACAGGAAAACCCCCAGATCATGCTGAATTGTCCAACATGTGTTTCAGATAGATGACTTCATGGGTTATTTAGTCTAATTGGTTCCATGTAGGGTTCCGTTGCAGCGGGTCTCGGTCTATGTGTCAATTTATCTGGACTCACTATCATCTCTAAACATGTGGTGTGCAGTAAGGTGTGTTTTTTGAGATGAGACTGAAAGTGTGAAATGTGAAGTTCTGGGGAAATGACATGTAATGCCACCTTTTTTTGATAGTGTTAGCGTCTTCTCTCTATTTAGGTCTGTTTGAATCGAGTGCATTTGACTGTCTTCAGGTCCCTTTTGAATTGGGTCTTTTTTAGATTGGGGCCTAGGCCTCTATGTTTCAGATGCTTTTCTACATTTGGTTTTGACCAGTAATGTTAAAATGTACAGCAAATGTATACAGAAGAAGTGCCACACATTTTTGTTTTGTACGTGTCCATGCCTGGATCTCTGATCCAACCTCCTCCCGTCTCATGGCACGGCTTCCATCTCAAATTTGCCGCCCTGCTGTTGCTACCGCTGAACTGGCACAAAAATGGTGGTTGACTGCTGCTGGTTCATCTCTCCTCTAATGAGCGTAGTGTAAGATTTAAATCTTGTTTTGCGCCCCTGGCTCCTGGCATCTGGGAAAAATACCAGGACAGCCAGTCTGTCAGCTTTAAACCAGACATTAGGCAGTTGCCAGCAGCCAACTTGGTCTAAAGTGAGCCAAATGGTCTTTGACCTTTAATGGGAGTGGAGGGAAAGGTGAGGAAGCAAAATGGTTTTCCTTTGCCCTTCCTAAACCTCACTGCAGGCTTCAACATTAAACTAGTGATGGTACATGGACCTGCACGATTGAAAATGTTATACATGACTGAGCTGCTGTGCTGAGCTGGCTGGTAAAAGTCAACAGTCCTTTTCACTAGAGCTCTCATGGAAAACACAAAACTGCTTATCCATAGCCTATACATGTTTTCATTAGTACAGCAAATGAGAAAATGTTGGCTGTGCTGAACTAGGGTGATTTCTTTTTTTTTTACCTGCAAGCTGAAGGCATTCCAATGTGATTTGTCCTGAGTTTTGCCTTTTATGGCCCAGAGCGTACAATATGCAGTCATGCAGTGTTCTCCAGTGATGGCGTAGTGAGAGTATACTGTACACTGATGGCATTATATTTTTGAAGTCACAAGAATGTGAAAGGTTTTCTACTGAATTAGTTTTCTTTTGCTTTGCTTTATTTTCTCCGCAGTAAGCTGAACTTTGCCAAGGTCACTCACAGATTTTACCTTTTTATCTCGCATTAAGCCAGTTCACAACAAAGCTTAATTTGCACTGACAGTCACGAGTGTAGAAAAATGTGGTTCTCTGAGTATGAGGTCAGGCAATGGCCCTGTTCATCTTTAATCTTAGGAGTGAGAATTGACATCTAAATGCCTTCAGGAATTTTTGCTTCTTTCTTGTTCCAGTAACAGATAAAGTCCAACTGCACAGGAGGTGTGAACAGGGAGTTAGAAAGGTAGTAGGTTTCAGGAAGTTTTGGGATGAGGTAGGGGCCCTGTGGTCCCCTGGCGACTGGCGGAGCTCGTGTTTTAATGTTCCCCTGTGTGCTGTGATCAGCAGATGCATCAGAGTGATGAGGACTGAGTAGAACAAAACTGTGTTTAATGGGCTCGAGGCCCGTCTGCTGTGCAGTGCTGGCACAGAAAAGAGGAAAGGTGAGGGGGGTGTGCGTACATTTGGTTTTTTGAGAAAGAGAAAAAACTGCAGGAAAAATAGTTTTAGACCTGTCTTAATCAGTACCACTTTATTCCCTAAGATCAATTTATTCCTCATAGAGAGTACCATTCAGTCTGTGAAAATAGCTGCACAACCCCTTGCGATGTCCTCAGGGTTGTCTCAGCTTGAGCTTGGAAACACATTTTCAATTGAAAGCAAGGAGTTTACCAGGCAAGGAGGGTCTAACAACAGACTATAGAGTTGCATTATGGGAAATGTTGGTTTCTGCGTCAGAAATGGTGAGAAACATTTGCTGCTTACACTGTTCCAAACATTATGTCTGCCATCAAACAATCAAAATGACTGTCCGCTGTTATTGCATTTTCATGCAGATTGGGTAGCAGATGCAGGTTAGAAATCTGTGAAATATTTTGTATCACTGAAGTAATAAATTTTAAGGATTTTGCGGTGCTCTAGTTTTGTTTTGGAAAGTTTTTGGAAAAGAGGCACGTCCACTCACGAGTATGAGTACAGATCTTGAATTAAGCTCATTTGCATTGGAGACAGGTGACAGAAGTTTTCACTTCTAAAAAATAAATTTTAACATGACTAAGAGTCTACAGCTATATTTAAAACTCTGTGGGGCTGTACATAAGTGTTTTAAGATAAATGCTAATGTAAGCATGCTAAGGTAGTTAGTGATAACTAACAGCTAGTGACAACTCTAACATGCTGATGTTTAGCAGGTCCAATATTTACCATGTTCACTATGTTAGCATGCTAACATTTGCTAAGTAGCACAAGGAACAGCTGAGGGTTATTTGAATTTTATTAGTTTTGCATTAAACAAACCGCTATTGAACAGTCCAAGTTGAATTTTGATCTGCTGGTGGATGAAAAGTCATAATATAATCCAAATTATAAGGAATCGTCCTCTGGGCACCTGGGTTATCTGTGCTAAATTTCATTACAATCCAACCAATAGCTGTCGGGACATTTTACTAAAAGCAAATAAGTCATGGAGGAAGAGTCAGGGGATCACCAAATGCAGTAGTCTTCATCAAATTGGTACCATGAATGTCTGTACCAACTTCTTTTGCAATCCATCCAATATTTGTTGAGGTGTTTAAATCTGGAAGTGGTGGAACGACCAAATAACCGACAGACTCGATGTTGTCATCCTTAAAGCCATGCAGCTGGAATGGCTTATTTTTACAACATTAATGCACACTACATTTATTGCACTAAATACATTGTAGCTAAAAACTAATTTTCATCTGTGTTACTTGCAGAGGCCACCAGTGGGTTTTGGAAAATCCTAAAACTGCCTACAGAAGAGTATCAAAGCCACAATGGATCTATTGTTGACCTTCATGACCAAGTAACTGTACAATAGCCTGATTCCTCAGCCAAGAGACTAATAAAGCTAATGGAGTGAAAGAGAGTCAAGAGAATAGGGGGAGGAAACCAGGAGACAGCATTGCAAAGGTTCCCTGTCCAATCTCCTTTGAGAGGCATATAGGCCACATACATGTGATGTCTCATCATCCACGTCTGCCTTAACATGAGCTCTCCCAATTCTTTTCCTCTCTCTCTTCATTTGTGTCTGTATAATTCTCTTTTGTATGACTTGTTCATACTCTCTGCTTTTTAATCGGGATAATTAGGCTTAGACTTCTCCCTTGCCATCTCTTTCCTACAGAAGATGGTGGAATACCTAAATAATGCTCCTGTTATTGAAGGATGATCATCTAAAAATTATTTAAAGGTTATGTTTTTATGACAGTGGTGAAGGTTGAAGTTAAGGTGGGGGTTTATGGTCCATGATGCTTTAGATTGTCTGGGGGGGGGGGTCAATTTAAGTGACAGCATTACACTATACAGAGATGACGATACAAGTCTGGATCACAGGGGTCCTGCTCAGCTATGCGTAACTTCTGCCTGTGTCTCCCGTTCTTGGCGCAAAGATGATGTTGAATCATTAATACTGCTGGTCAATCATTTTTAGAAATGTCCGAAATATCTACCATTTCAAATGTGCAGGCATGTTGCATGCAAGAATATCCATCTTATGGGAGACAATGGGGGATGTTTCCAAGAAGATATGTGTGTGTGTGTATATATATATATATATATATTTAAGGATCTATCTATAACAGTTTGATCTGCAAAAAACACTAAAGACACTAAAATATGTGATTTTTAAATTTAACTAGACCAAAATCACAATCACAATTGCCTTGTACACTCAAATTAATGTGTATATTACTGGAGCATGTTAGGTTAGGAGAATGACAGATTAAAATGGGTTCATTTTGATTTTTTTGATTGTAGCAAGTAAAATTAGCTAGCTTTAGTGCTGCAAATCATGTGTTTATGTAAAAAATCCAAAATGCCTTAAATAATCTCTTCCCATTTTCCATTTTCACTTGTTTCCAGAATAAAAATAAAACTCTGCACTCAAAGGAAGGACATTTTTTGCAGGGCGGCATTGCCGAACACTTATGCTGCGCAGTAGCCACAGCAACCGTTAACAGGATTAGGCATGGCTTACATAAACATCTCCCATGGCAACAGTGCACCGGCACCAGGCAAAGGCAGGGAGAGGAGAGCTGTCACCGGAAAATATCATCGGTCTGGTCAGCTGAGTGTCAGCTGGCTTTGATGCATGATGTTAAAAGCCATGTGTTTCCTGTGAATGCAAAAACTGCATATCCTTTGGTCACCTATTGAGCATTAAAATATTATTTCTACAATTTGAATAATTATATTTAATATTCTACAGATATTTTGTGCAATTTGGTAACATTTTTCCTTTAATGTTTCGAACCAGAATGTAGCTCGACTGCTCTTTGTATGTTTTAGTAGCTTCTGTACAGTCCGTGTTTATGTTGGTCGATGTTTTGTGGCCTGCCACTGTTGTGACACTTTGGCAGCAACGCCTGAAGTTGTGTCCCGTTGGACATACTAGGCCTTTAGAAAACGGTTCATTTCCCATAATTCCCTCAGGACAGACACATTGCTCACTGCCTCTCATGGCTTTGGCTCTGAAGGAGAGTAGAGGTCTCTCCTGTCTCTCGCTGTTTCCCTCAAAATGTCTCTGCCAGTGTCTAGTCGACATTTTCTATCCACGAACGAGGTCGGGTTTGCCAGAGGACAGAGAAGAATTTGGCACTTTCTTCTTATGCATAGTTTTATGCTAAATGTACACCCAGTTTAAACAGTAGAACTAGCAGCTCAAAACAGACATTAGGCAATACTGTATTTCGATTTTTAAAATTAAAAACTGGCCATATATAGTTTGTATGAATCCTTTTGAATCACTTAAATATGCTACAATATGTGCAGCTATTTGTGAACTGCAAGCTTACATACAATTAAGTTTGAGTTGATGCTTATCTACACAAAGACACTTATACACACATTCATTAACCTTGTAGCCACACAAATGCGCATACACACTGTTTCAGGCTTAAGGGAAGGTTGATTGGCCATCCTAAACCAATGAATAATAATTATCACCCATCAATAATGCTGTTCATGTCACCATGTCTGAGTCGTGACCCCAGCAGTCTAATTTTGAAAATCCCCAAAACATATATATGGAGACCGTAATCTGCCCAGACTAATGACATGACGTTAAAGCCTATCCAGGAGAAGGTTGGGGTAGATGGACATGTGACTTTCACTGTTAGCATCCCATGATTTCTTTTAACCATGAGCACTATTATTTTAATTTAACTGAGTAGTTTTTGTGCCTAAACCGAACCAAAGAGTAACCATAGCTGTGGCAGATCATAAAACTGTCAACAAAATGTATGACTTTGACACGCAAGATTGCTGTTTGCATCCTGTTTTCTACCAGTGGTCAGTATTGTAACCATTACCATGACTTTCCCTAACTTTAAAAAACTACTATTAGTTGATCATAAGAATCAGTTTTGTAACAGTCAATACCCTTGACTATGTTACTTGAACATTTCTGGCAGCTACAAAGCCCTCCCCCTTCCCCATTTTGGTTTATCAGACCATATTTCTCTGCTTCTCCTGCCTACTTACACCCAACAGTCAAAGTTTGGAGAGATGAGACTACAGCAGCTTTACAGGACTGTTTGAGTACACAGACTGGCATGTTCAGAGAGGCTGCCACCCAGGAGAACCACATAATTCTTGAGGTGTATACATCATCAGTGACCTCATACATAAGCAAAGGTGGTGATCACAAAGACAATAAAATCATTCCCCAACCAGAAAGCCTGGATGAATGGAGAGGTGAGGGCTCTATCCAGAGCTAGAGAAGATGCTTTTTTCAATCAGGTGACAAGGAAGCACAGCACCGCCAGAGCCTGATGGAAAGCTGGCATCAAGGAGGTGAAGCAGAGAGGACTGGCCACTGCCGGTATAGACAGTAGATATGACAAAAGTCCTGCTGAGAGTGAATATGAGACAATCTGCTGGGCCTGATAACAGGCCGTGTACTCAAGCTGATGATACACGGAGCAACTTTTAGAGCAATGGTGCTGGGTAATGTTGCTGTCAATGGTAGTGAGTAAAGATTACTACCGTAATCCCCTTCCCCCATCACTCTGCCACCCTCCCCGCACCACCGCTATCACCGCATTCAAAACATAGTCGGACTTGCCACCAGCAAGATTGCCCAGCAACATTGCTCAAAAAGTTGCACCGTATATTATCAGCTTTAAAGCATATGCCAGTCAGCTAATTTATGTTGTTACTGATATTTTTAACTTATCATTGGTTCTCCAGCATGTAAAGAACAACATCTCTGACCAGTTTGCTTTCAGAACCAACAGATCCACTGCTCTCCACTCAGCTTGAGAAAAGCAACTTCTACATCAGAATGCTGTTTGTTGATTTCAGCTAAGCATTCAACACAATCTCCACCATGAAACTGATCAGCAAACTCAGCACTCTGGCTTTAAATACCACACACCTCATCAATCTAGTGCTTAAAGCCGGAGCCCCCCAGGGCTATGTGCTCAGCCCCCTCCTGTTCATGCTGTACACCCACGACTGCATCCCCCAACATGGAGAGAGCTCTGTTGTGAAGTCTGCAGATGACACCACCATCATCGGCCGGATTTCAAATAACAATGAGACTTCATATCGGGAGGAAATCAACAATCTTGCTGAATGGTGCTCAGAGAACAACCTACTGCTAACAAAGGAGCTGATCGTTGATGTTAGGAAGAAGGAGTTAAAGACATACGCCTGTCTACATCAGTGGTGCTGAGGTGGAGCAGGTGAACAGTTTCAGGTTCCTGGGAATCAGCATCACATAGAACCTGACGTGATCATCTCACATCTCCACGCTGGTAAAGAATTTCAGAAATGGCTGTATTTCTTAAGGAAACTTCAGAAGGCAAAATTGCCCGGTTCCTGTTCAATTTTACAGAGGAGCAACAGAAAGCATTCTGACTGGAAACATCACAAACTAGCATGCTATATGCAAGGCCCAGGATGTGAGGTGCTCTTGAGGGGGTAATTAAAATCGCACAGAGCATCATACCCATATACCAAGCATCAGTGATATCGGTGAGGTGAGGTTCCCGCACAGAGCCCAAAGGATACTGAAAGTAATAGATTCTACTGAAAGTAATAGATTCTGTTGGGCCCCATTTGATCTCTGTTTTCAACAGCTCCCTAGCTACTGGTTGTGTCCCTGATTATTTTAAAACGGCTTGCGTGAACCCACTTTTAAAGAAACCTGGTTTAGATCCCTCCCTCCCACATAATTTTAGACCAATTTCAAAACTGCCTTTTATTGCAAAGATTCTAGAAAGAATTGTGTCCAAACAGCTGCTCACTGTGCTGGAAAATAACAAATTATTTGAAAAGTTTCAGTCTGGTTTTAGGAAGTACCACAGCACTGAGACTGCCCTGCTTAAAGTCACCAATGACCTTTTAATGTCTGCTGATGAAGGTATGTGCTCAGTCCTTGTACTCCTGGACCTTAGCGCTGCTTTTGACACCATTGATCACAACATCATGTTAGACAGACTGAGGCACTGGGTGGGGATCTCTGGTACTGCCCTAGAATAGTTTTCATCCTACCTGTCAAATAGGAAGTTTTGTGTGTCTGTAAACAACTATGTCTCTTCATTCTGTCCAGTTAAATATGGTGTGCCTCAGGGGTCGGTCTTAGGACCCATTTTGTTTTCCTTGTATCTGCTTCCCCTTGGACATATTATCCATAAACATGGCATTTCTTTTCATATTTATGCTGATGACACACAAATATACTTGCCCGTCAGATCCACAGACCCTGGAATGCTGAGTTCACTTAACAACTGCCTTTGTGAAGTTAAAAAATGGATGTCAAATAATTTCCTCCAGCTGAACTCAGACAAAACAGAAATCCTGGTCATCGGGTCTCAGCAGATGGCAAATCAAATACTGCCATCTGCTGGTTCCCTAGTAAATCACATTAAGCCTGTGGCAAAGAACCTTGGTGTTTGGTTTGATAG